ATAAACCTAAGATTGTTCCACGTGTAATACCTAAAGTTAAGCCTATGTAAAGGCAGAACCTTCCTTTGTTAGACGAGCTGAATTTGGACAGATTATTCCTCAGCTCTTGGCTGTAATAATAAACCCTTTCCTTTATTATTATTACCCTTTCCTTTCCCATTCAGTGTTCAGGAGCTCTGTTTCTCACAGCCCATCCTGCTACAAAAGTAAAGGATTGTGGATGGCCTCAGAAAGACAGCAGGTTGTGAAATGTTTCTCTTCAAACCTTCAAAGGGTGCTGGCTCTCAGTTGATTATGTTTTGGACCTGGGAAGGAAGGAAGGAAAAAAAAGAGGGAAGGAACGTGGATATACAATGTGGATTTTCCCCATAAGAGACTTAGCAGGTCAATTTCAAGGTATGGCAAGAAAACTGCTTTTGGGGTAAAACCGTTTGATTTTCTTCTTTGTTATGTCACAGTCAGATTGGAAAGTAAGACACGATATACAGGGTCAAATAAAACCCATCTGATGAGAATTTGGTTTGTAGGGCATGGACTCCCCAGATCCCATAGGTAGGAATTTGGGTTAGATTTAAAAAGTCAGAGCTTAGTCCCCAAAGGGAACAACCGGGCAATTTATATACACCGTTAAAAAGTCAGTGCTGCCGGGCACGGTGGCTCACGCCTATAATCCCAGCACTTTGGGAGGCTGAGGTGGGTGGATCACGAGATCAAGAGATTGAGACCATCCTGGTCAGCGAGGTGAAACCCCGTCTCTACTAAAAATACAAAAATTAGCTGGGCATGGTGGCGTGTGCCTGTAATCCCAGCTACCCGGGAGGCTGAGGCAGGAGAATTGCTTGAACCCAGAAGGCGCAGGTTGCGGTGAGCCGAGATCGTGCCATTGCACTCAAGTCTGGGTAACAAGAGTGAAACTACGTCTCAAAAAAAAAAGTCAGTGCTTTTTCTTTTTTGCTTTCTTTCTTTTTTTTTTTTTTTTTTTTTTTTTTTTCACGAAGACAGTGAGGGAGTCCTGCTGCTGGAGGGAGTCTTTGTCGCCCAAACTGGCCCGGACGCCAGGGCTTAGTCACCGTCCTGCACCTGCTTCCCGAGTAGCTGGGACCTCAGGCGCGGCTTTGCTGCTGTGTTTAAGCAGCAGGTGGTGACCTCACTCCTCCTTGCCCTGAGTCCTCCGTCCAGCACCCTAGGCGGTGGCCCTAGGGAAGTCTCTGAAGCTGAGCACAGGGTGGGGACTCCCTTCCAAGTCTATAGGGAAAGAAAGGGAGAGGATGTCTATTCTGTTCTGTGGGCCGTCAGCATGAAATTGCACATTCCACCACGCAGTGCTTTTTTTTTTTTTTGAGACGGAGTTTCGCTCTTGTTACCCAGGCTGGAGTGCAATGGCGCGATCTCGGCTCACCGCAACCTCCGCCTCCTGGGTTCAGGCAATTCTCCTGCCTCAGCCTCCTGAGTAGCTGGGACTACAGGCACGCGCCACTATGCCCAGCTAATTTTTTGTATTTTTAGTAGAGACGGGGTTCCACCATGTTGACCAGGATGGTCTCGATCTCTTGACCTCGTGATCCACCCGCCTCGGCCTCCCAAAGTGCTGGGTGGGATTACAGGCGTGAGCCACCGCACCCGGCATGGCAGTGCTTTGTATTTCACATCTAGTTTGCATTCCTGTCCTAGACAACTTCGAAGCTGTGAAATTAAATTTCTTTTTCTTTTTTTTGAGACGGAGTCTCGCTCTGTCGCCCACGCTGGAGTGCAATGGCGCGATCTCGGCTCACTGCAACCTCTGCCTCCCGGGTCAAGCGATTCTCCTGCCTCAGCCTCCCAAGTAGCTGGGACTACAGGCGCCTGCCACCACACCCATCTAACTTTGTATTTTTAGTAGAGATAGGCGTACACTGTGTTAGCCAGGATGGTCTCGATCTCTTGACCTCGTCATCCACCCGCCTCCGCCTCCCAAAGTGCTGGGATTACAGGCGTGAGCCACCGCGCCCGGCCTGGAATTCCATTTCTAAAATTAATTTTAGTAGCAAGGAACTTTCCCGGATCCAATTACCGCCCCAGGCTGAATCCTCAGGGAGGTCGCAGTTCCCAGCCTGCTGAGCTGCTCAAGCCTCACTGGCAGGTTTCGCCCCCAAAACCCGGAAAATTGAGACTTTGGGAGCAAGGGCGGAGGGAAGCTCAGGCTCTACCAGTTCCACGACCCCATAGACTCTGCCCAGTCTAGGCCTCTTTTCCTCCACGCCAGGCCCGGAGTCCTTTATGCCCCGCCCCTGCCTCGCTGAGGCACGCCCACCGCGCTGGTCCCGCCCCTGTTTCGCCGAGGCCCCGCCCACCGCGCTGGTCCCGCCCTGGCCTGGTTTTTGTCCTGCTGGCGCTCAGATTCGCTCAAACCCGGAAGCGGATCGCGTGGAGCGCAGGTCCCGCGGGGCTGCGTGAGTTTCTATGTTAAATCTGCGGTTCGCAGGCCCCCGGCGCTTTTGTTCCGGGGACCTGGGATCCCAAAAGACATGGAAATTTACGCCCCTCTCCCTCTACCCAGAGTAAATTGAGACGTCTCCTTGAGAGTCCCGAGTCTCTTCCTTTCGGGTTGAAAGTCAGTCTGAGGCTGTTCCCGTCTCCGGTCTTTCCGCCGTGGAGCACTGCACACACCTGTCGCGGAGTTTTCCTGCCCGGTAGCCTTCCTGACCCCTCTTCCCGCCCGCACTTTAAAAGTTCTCGCCCGCGAACTGGATCCCCGCCCTGGGCGCCCCCCTGCTTCGCCCTTGGCACCTGGAGCGCAGCGCCGCAGCCCCAGTCCTCTGCCTGGTCCTGGGATCCTGCAGACCCCACCCTTGTACGAAGGTGCAATCGCCTCCCACCTCCCTCCTCGCGCCTGGTCCTGCGGCTCTCAGTTCCAACCCTTGGAAACTGCTCTACCTGGAGGCAGCCATCTTAACCCATCCTCTCCCTGTTTTAACGGAAGGCAGGCTAGAGTGTGAGATGTCCAGGTTCTTAGTTGTTGAACATAGAATTGAAACAAAACAAAATAAAAACTCATGAACAAAGTAACAAAAGATTGAAGCGGCGAAACCAGGGATTACTGAAGCAAAACAGGACTCCACAGGGTGGGAGTGGGCCTGAGCGAGTGTCTCCAGGGCCCCAATTACCAAGTTGAGGTTGTGTTAAAGTCTTTATTTTGAAATCCTATGGGCTACTTTTTTTCTGGAGGAAAGCTTTGGCCATTGGCCAATGAAATGCTGAGGTGAATTAGCCCGAGGCCAGAGCAGATGGGGGTGCCCTATGCAGAAGGGGTAGCCGGGGCTTGGCGGTGGCCATTCCTGGGTAGTTTCCCTTTTCCGCTAAGACGTGGTGGAAGGTGGAGGGCCGTAGAGAGAGTAGCCTTTGATCCTTTGGAATTACATTTCTCTTTCTTTCTTTTTTTTTTTTTTGAGACGGAGTCTTGCTCTGTCGCCCAGGCTGGAGTGCAGTAGTGCGTTCCCGGCCAAACTCTGTCTCAATAATAAATAAAATACAATATTGGAGATAAATTACATTTGTAAGTGTTGTAATTTACAATATAAAAAGGAAGTAGCACGTATACATGAAAGCAGTACGAAAATACAGTACTTTACAAATCGTTTTGAGTTTTGGGCGAAAAATGTTTCAAGGCTTCATCCCTGGGGCTCCGCACTCCCAAGACCTCTCTTACCCCACCTGCTACTTGTGTCCTCCTCACTCCTGCTCCAGCCACGCGGGCCTCTTTCTGTTACTGGGGCTGAGGTTGCTCCTGTCTCAGGGCCTTCACCTGGGCTGTCCCTCTGCCTAGGACTCTCTGGCCCCTCAGCTGCAGGGGACAAGCAGCCTTTCTCCCCGGGGTCTTTGTGCTGATACCTTCTTTATAGAAACCTTTGTGATTTTCCATAACTCCCATTTGACATCGGAGTACCACCTTCACCCCAGTTCTGATCTATTTCACCTGTTCTGTGTGATTCTTTTTGCTTCTTTGCTGTTCACTGTCTAGACCCTGGTGAGAACCCAAGGGGAGAGCAGAGCCAAAAGGTGGGGCTGTGCTGGGCTGGCCCCCATGAGTGGAGCTTAGCCCTGGCTTCACCTTAGGGTGCTCAGGCATTTTGCAAAAGCATCTTTTATGCTGCTTTACCAGAGATTACTATTCTCATAGGATGGGGTCTCTCCTCAGTAATACTTCCAGTGGCACAGGTGATTCTAATCTATGTCCAGCATTGAACATCCCGGCAATTTTCTCCATTTCTGAGAGCTGAGATCAGCCTGTTATTTCCAGAGAGTTGAGGGGGCTATGCTGTGCATGGAGTTTGGTTAGGGTGGGATCTGTGCTCTGAGGGGGGGCTCAGTCCAGCCCAACTCCCCACTGCTGCAGCGTGTGTGTGGGCTTCTGGAGGGGAGTGAGATCTGGAGAGAGATGTCAAGGTCACCCTTGTGGGTCTTCCTGTAGGACTTTCTTCTTTTTTTTTTTTGAGACAGAGTTTCGCTCTTGTTACCCAGGCTGGAGTGCAATGGCAGGGTCTTGGCTCACTGCAACCTCCGCCTCCTGGGTTCAGGCAATTCTCCTGCCTCAGCCTCCTTAGTAGCTGGAATTACAGGCACACACCACCATGCCCAGCTAATTATTTGTATTTTTAGTAGAGATGGGGTTTCACCTTGTTGACCAGGATGGTCTTGATCTCTTGACCTCGTGATCCACACGCCTAGGTCTCCCAAAGTGCTGGGATTACAGGCGTGAGCCACCGTGCCCGGCCTCCTGTAGGACTTTCTTATCCCTGCATCATTGCTGGTGCAGTGGGCAGCAGAGGACCATCTTTCTACAGGGTGAGGTCTTCCCTCTGTGTGTGCTTTTGGCACAGAGAGGGAGCGAGTGGTTTCTAAACATTAAATCTCATATATTTTTCACATACAGGATCCATTTCTAAAGACTCATGTTATGTGAGGAAACCATCCAGAAGAGGAAAGAAAAGGAGCCAGGCATGGCTCTTCCTCAGGTAAAGTGACACTCCACAGTGGATTCATCTGTCTGTCTCTGTAGGGTCCAGCCCTACAGGGTCCCATGAGTCCTTTTCTCTGGTGTGGAAACGAGAAACTGGAAATAAAAGACAAAGATAGAGAAAACAGAGTTTGGGCCCAGGGGTCCACTGCCCACCAAAGCACAGAGTCCTGCAGTGGCGCGTGCCGGACACTCTGATTTTACTGAGTACAAAGCAGGGGAAGGCAGGTAGGATGAGGTCATGGTGGTCAGTGACAGGGTCAGGTAAATCATGTGTCTCGGAGACAGGGCCCAAGACTTTGAAGAAGGCGAAGTGAGGAGAAAACCTACGGCGTCAGTACCTTTTTCATACTTGTCAAGAAATAACAAGGTCACTAAGATTTGTGTTACTATCTCCAATAGAACCCAGTCTTCAGGCTAAAAGAAAAAAAAAAAAACGGAAGGAAAAAAAAATTGGTGTTACTATTACTAATTCTTCAAAGGAAAAGAGGAACCAGGTGCAGAAGCGGAACTTGAAAGTAGACATGGAACGTGACGGCTGAAACACAGCACCACATAGAGACAATGAAGTCTCCGGATGTCTGTGGGTCCCCCTGACAGCTGTCAGGCTTACCGCAAGAGCTTGGGAGAGCAGAGTTTTCTCCTCACTCCTTCGAGGAAGGAGACGTCTTGGCCATCTTGGATATCTCCTTCCACTGGCTAAACAGTGGGCGCTTTCACAGCACTGACACTGACACAGCTGAGGTGCCCTCCAGCAGCCCTTATGCGGGTGCGACAGTGAGCTTAGAGCATCTTGCCTTAGGGTCACCTCTTTTCCAACGCCACTTCAGTGCCATACTTCTTGACCTGAGACTTGGTAAGATTAAAGATTATACAGTTATATGTACAGAGAGATTTCTGATTACATGTGGATAGCTTTGTGATGACATATAATGACATGCAGGAATGACTATGTGGCTGTATCTAACTCTTTTCTGATTCTGGATTTATATGAGAACAGGCTGCGGCTTCAGAGCCTTGCCTTGGCTCTTGCAGGGTTTCCCCCCCACGTCTTTCCTTTCTGAGAAGCCAGGTATTGTAGTAGCCTGTCTGTTCTGAGTCTTAAGTGTCCTGCCTGACACGTGTGCTCGCACTCACCTGTGCCTTTTCTCAGTCCCTCTCATCTCCTCTTAGATTCTGTCTCCTATAATCCAGTGACACGAGTTTCCGTAGAGGCTGCACTGGGCATGGTCCTGGGAAGGGCTCAGCAGACATGGATGGACGCGGGGTTTGGGCCCCGTGGTTCAGTGCTGCTGGGCAGCAGGGATTGTTCAGACGCCACATCTAGTTTAGCTCATTGAAGGCTGGATCGGAGAGAAAGTACATGTGAAAGTCATACATTAGGCTGGGCACTGTGATGCATGCCTGTAATCCCAGCACTTTGGGAGGCTGAGGCAGGTGGGTCACCTAAGATCGGGAGTTTGAGACCAGTCTGACCAGCATGGAGGAACCCTGGTTTCTAACAAAAATACAAAAAAAGTCACCTGGGCATGGTGGTGCATGCCTGTAATCCCAGCTTCTGAGGAGGCTGAGGCAGAAGAATCGCTTGAACTGGGGAGGCAGAGGTTGCAGTGAGCCCAGATCATGCCACTGCACTCCAGCCTGAGTAACAACAGCAAAATCTGTCTCCAAAAAAAAAAAAAAGTTATACATTAATGTGCCCTTATATCTGGTAAACTCTGGAAAAGGAGACAAATAAGGGGAGATATTTTGTGTTTAATTTTGTAATGCATTTAAAGCCAAACTTCTTTACTTAAAGGAGATAGGGTGTCACTCTGTGGCCCAGTCAGGAGTGCCATGGTACAATTCTGGTTTACAGCAGCCTCAAACTCCTGGGGTCAAGTGATCCCCACATTAGCCTCCCCAGGAGGTAGGATGACAGGCATGTGCCACCACATCGGGCTAATTCTTTCATTTGTTATTATATAGAGATGGGATCTTGCTATTTTGTCCAGGCTGGAGTATGGCGGTGCCATCAAAGCTCACTATAGCCTGAGCTCCTGGCCTTGAGTCCATCTCAGCCTCCCAAACTGCTGGGATTACAAATGTGAAACAGCCAGCCTGGCTGGACGCTGCACTTTTTTTGGTGGGGGTAGGTGTTGGGAAGCAGCCCAACCCTGTGCGTGGGTGCGCCATGTCCCTGGCAGTGACGAGGGAGTGAGAAAAGAAATAAAGACACAATAGAATTTATAGCATGGGTCCAGGGATCCAGCGCACTCTCCGGGACCCCGGTTGGCACTGAGCTCTGGGCTCCAAGCATTTTTATTAGGTGTGTTGTTAGTCTTGCAGGCGGTGGGGAGCCGGGGTAAGGAGGAAGATAGCCTGCGGGAGAACATGTGTCTGCAGCATTCAATAGCAAACTAAGAAACGCTAAGGACACTGAGACTTTACCGCCCATTTTCTAACCAGGTGCTTTGGCAACAGGTGCAGCGGATGAGGATGAGGCCCCATAAGGTCTGACCACACACAACGCACCAAGGGGTGTGGTCTCCCCAGCGTTGTGGACACAGGGCAATTGGAATTGCTCCATATTCTGAGAACACAGGCAGAGCCTGTGGCGTTCTGGTGTCTCTGCCTGCAAGGCTTTCCTCCCTAGTCTTATGAGCAGGGATGGCATTTCCTTCCTGGAACCTTCTGCCTAAGCTCCCTTTACGAGATCCTCACACAAACTCTGTGTTGGGAAGATCTGTGGGACCGAAGCAGTTTCTTTTCCGTTTTGCAGCTGCACGGCAGCGTTCCGCGGTTGTAGGGCGCTCTCAGATGTCTTTTCCATAGGCCTCCTGTACCTCTTGACCTCTGCTTTTATTTTTTTATTTTTTATTTTTATTTATTTATTTTTTTGAGACGGAGTTTTGCTCTTGTTACCCAGGCTGGAGTGCAATGGCGCGACCTCGGCTCACCGCAACCTCTGCCTTTTGGGCTTAGGCAATTCTCCTGCCTCAGCCTCCCGAGTAGCTGGGATTACAGGCACGCACCACCATGCCCAGCTAATTTTTATATTTTTAGTAGAGATGGGGTTTCACCATGTTGACCAGGATGGCCTCGATCTCTTGACCTTGTGATCCACCCGCCTCGGCCTCCCAAAGTGCTGGGATTACAGGCTTGAGCCACCGCGCCCAGCCTACATTCTATGTTTTATTTTTTATGCGTAGTGAACTAGATAAGTAAGGGCAATGCATATATATAGAATTGCAGTATTGCCTGGCTGTGACATAGATGTGGTTGTGGCATCATAATTGCACCCTCTGACACTGTTAGTTCTTTTTGTAGCTGAGACTAAGGTACCTGCCACCACTCCCAACTAATTTTTTTTGTATTTTTAGTAAAGATGGGGTTTCACCATGTTGGCCAGGCTGGTCTCAAACTTCTGACCTCATGATCCACTCGTCTCGGCCTCCCAGAGAGCTGGGATTACACGCATGAGACAGTGCTCCCAACTCTTCTTCCTTATCATGCTGTGTATTTTCTTGACCTCACACCATCAGAAGGTAGTGATCTTAACATGTATTTCAGTTCTTATATTGGTGCTGGTAGTAAGTAGAAATTGTGGCTTTTTTCTTTGGAGAGAATCGTTTAGAATTCTGCAGGCTGTATCAATGTACTTATTATTTGCTTGCTGGTTTTATCATAGGTTACAAATTTTACCAACTTCTATGATTCTACATATGGCTCTTTGGTATGTGGTATGTAATATAACACTCATTACATCATAAAGTGCCACAAGGCACGGTGGCTCATGCCTGTAATCCTAGAATTTTGGGAGGCTGAGGCGGATGGATCACTTGGCGTTTGAAACCAGCCTGGCCAACTTGGTGAAACCCCATCTCTACTAAAAGTACCTCATCTCAACTAAATTTAGCCAGGCAGGGGGGAACATGCCTGTAACCCCAGCTACTACTCAGGAGGCTGAGGCTGAAGAATCACTTGAACCCAGGAGGCGGAGGTTGCAGTGAGCCGAGATAGCACCATTTCACTCTATCCTAGGTGACAGAGGATGCCTCTGTCTCAAAAAAATAAAAATACAAAAAATTGTTTTAAAAATGTCCCAAGTGCCTATTCTGCATGGATATAGGAAATCTTATGATACATATTTAGAAAAATACTGTATTAACTTTTCTTTTCCTTTTTTTTTCTTTTTCTTGAAACAGAGTCTCACTTGTCACCCAGGCTGAAGTGCAGGAGTGCAATCTCAGCTCACTGCAACCTCTGCCTCCCAGTTTCAAGCAAGTCTTGTGCCTGAGGCTCTCAAGTAGCTATTTACCAGGGTGGTATATTGTGTAGTCCTTTAGCATTTATTTGTATACAGTACATATGCTGTCAGTAGGAAGAATATTTATTTTTCTCTTCATTGATGTGACAGTGGTATGTGTTTTGCAAACTGTTATACACTTGAGGGTCACAGTGGAAAAGTACTCCTTATTTTAGGCTCACACACGCTGGTGCCCTGTCAGTGTTTTCTCATGATACTGGATACAGGCTTCTGTAGAAATGATTCGAAGTCCATGTAATTGCCATAATTGCTATTTACTTATTTATTGATTTATTGCATCACCCTTTATTTATTAAAGAATCTCATTCCTTTTGTGTTACCAAACGTGGGAGATAATGCTTGAAAGCTTAAAATAAGTATTTTGTGGGTGTCATATTTGCACATTTCAGTATCGTTTACCCTCTGTACTGAATTGGATATTTTCCAGATACCTCTTCCAAATGCATGATGAAGACGTTCCCATCAACAGGGCCGGGCAATACAGAAACGTTCCACATGGGAACACTGGAAACACACCAAAGTCATCACGGTGGAGAGTTTTGCTTTCAGGAAATTGAGAAAGATATTCATGACTTTGAGTTTCAGTGGCAAGAACATGAAAGAAATACCCATGAAGCACCCAGGACAAAAATCAAAAAGTTGACTAGTAATACAGAGCAATATGATGAAAGGCAGGCTGGAAACAAGCCCGAAAAAGGTCAGCTGGGATTAAGCTTTCATTCCCATCTGCCTGAACAGCAAGTATTTCCGACCAAAAGGAAAGTTGGTAATGAAGTTGAGAAGTCTATCAATGATGCTTCCTTGGTTTCAGCATTCCCAATAATTTTTTGTGGGCCCCAAACCCACCTTTCTAATAACTATGACAACAATTTCCTCCATTCTTCACTACTCACACAAGAACGGGAAGTACACATGAGAGAAAAACCTTTCCAATGTCATGAGAGTGGCAAAGCCCTTATTTGTAGCTCTCTCTTAAGGAAACATCAGATAATCCATTTAGAAGAGAAACAATATGAATGCGATGTGTGTGGAAAAGTCTTTAATCAGAATCGATACCTTGCACGCCATTGTAGACTTCATACTGGGGAGAAACCTTACAAGTGTAATGAGTGTGGCAGGACTTTCAGTCAGGCGTCATACCTTACCTGCCATCGTAGACTTCATACTGGAGAGAGACCTTACAGGTGTAATGAGTGTGGCAAGGCCTTCAGTCACCCATCATCCTTTGTAGGCCATCGTAGACTTCATACTGGAGAGACACCTTACAAGTCTCATGTGTGTGGCAAGACCTTCAATTACTCATCATCCCTTGGACGCCATAGTAATCTTCATACAGGAGAGAAACCTTACAAGTGTAATGAGTGTGGCAAGACCTTCAATTACCCGTCATCCCTTGGACGCCATAGTAGTCTTCATACAGGAGAGAAACCTTACAAGTGAAATGAGTGTGGCAAGACCTTCATTCAGATGGTATCCCTTGTATACCATGGTAGACTTCATACTGCAGAGAAACCTTACAAGTGTAATGAATGTGGTGAGTTTTTTAATCATGAATCAAAGCTTGCACGTCATCACAGATTTCATACTGGATAGTAACCTTACAGATGTTAAGAATGTGACAAAGTTTTCAGTCCCAAATTACACCTGGAAAGACACAGGAGAATTCATACTGGAAAGAAACGGTACAAATGTAAGGTTTGTGACAAGGCCTTTGGGTGTGAATCACACTAGAGAGAACCTTCCCGGTGTACCGAGTGTGGCCAGGCCTTTAGTGGACAGTCAGCACTCACCATCAGGCAGTCCACGGTATAGGGAAGCTTTACTAATGTAAAGATTCTCACAACCATTGCAAATCATTGGAAAATCCATAATGAGAGATCTTACAAGTGTAATAAATATGGCAGATTGTTCAGACATCATTCATACCTTGCAGTGTATAGGCCAACTCATGCTGGAGAGAAAGCTTACAAATGTCATGATTGTGGCAAGATCTTGAGTCAAGCTTTATCTTACACAAATGATAGGAGACTTCATACAGGAGAGAAGTGTGATGATTGTGGCAAAGCCTTTACTTCATGTTCACAACTCATTGGACATCAGAGAATCCATATTGGGCAGAAATCTTACAAATGTCTCTTAAGTGTGGCAAAGTCTTCAGTTCGGGCTTACTCCTTACGGCACATCAGAAACTTCATTTCTGAGATAATGTACCAAATGCAATGAGTCTAGCAAACCATCAAACATTAAGTGATGTTAGAGTCAATTCAGCATCGACTTGAGTTTGAGTTGACTTAACATTGAGTTCCAGCATTAATTGACATTAAAGTGTTTATGTTAAGAGGATTGGGCCAGGTAGCTCACACCTGTAATCCCAGCACCTTGAGGGGCCTAAAAGGTTAGATTGCTTAAGGTCAGGAGTTTGAGACCAGCCTGGCTAATAGACGTGAGCTGCTTTGCCAAGCCTGTTTCTTTGTTTAACAGAAATAGATAGGGGGTTTTATGGGTATTGCACTGAATCTAAACCACACTGGGGTATACAGTCATTTAACAATAGTTTTCCCATTTATCAATATGGGTTGTATCTCTATATATGTATTTTCTCTTTTTTTTTTTTTTTCCTGAGATGGAATCTCACTCTGTCACCCAGATTGCCCCAGCTGGAGTATAATGGCGCTGTCTCAGCTCACTGCAGCCTCTGCCTGCCAGGTTCAAGCAATTCTTTTGCTTCAGCCTTGTGAGTAGCTGGGATTACAGGCAGGTACCACCGTGCCCAGCTGATTTTTTTTTTTTTTTTTTTTTTTTTTTTTTGTAGTAGAAATGAGGTTTCATCATGTTGGTCAGACTGGTTTAGAATCCTGACCTCCTGATCCACCCACCTAGGCCTCCCAAAGTGCTGGGATTACAGGTGTCAGCCACTGCACCTGGTTGTATTTATATATGTTTTTAATCTTTTTGATCAGTGTTTGTAGATTTCAAAGTACAAACTTCTCACCTTTTTATGTTCATTCCTAAGTATTTCTTTTTTTTCCCTTTTTTTTTTTTTAAATTGAGACAAAGACTTGCTCTGTTTTCCAGGCTGGAGTGCAATGGCACAATCTCGGCTCACTGCAATGTCTGCCTCCCAGATTCAAGCGATTCTCCTGCCTCAGCGTTCCGAATACCTGGAACTAGACGCACGCCAGCATGCCCAGCTTATTTTTGTACATTTAGTAGAAACGGGATATCACCATTTTATCCAGGCTGGTCTTGAACTCCTGACCTCATGATCTGCCTGCCTCGGCCTACCAAAGTGGTGGGATTACAGGCATGAGCCACCACGCCCGACTTTATCCTAAGTATTTCTTTAAGTTTTTTAGCAAACGGAAGTGTTTTCTTAATTTTCTTCTAAAATTGTTTATTGTTAATCTATGGAAATTTATTTTTTGATGCTGATATTGTATTCTGCAAATACACTGAATGTGTGAATTAGTTCCAATAGAATTTGGTTGATCTTCTAGAGATGATCGTCATCTCCAAACAAATATAGTTGTACTTGTTTCTGATTTGGATGAGTTTTATTTCTTTTGCTATGTAATTGCTCTAGCCAAGATGTTAGTGTTTATTGAATGGAAGGCGTGAGAGCATTCTTACATCATGCAAGATCCTACAGGAAGAGCATTCCATTTTTTTGATTGGTTATTCTGCTGTGGTCATTTCATGGATGGTCTTTTTATTGTTTAGGTGAATTTCCTTCTCTATGTTGTTTAGGATTCCTGTGATGACTGGATGTTGTATTTTGTGGAATGCTTTTTCCCATCTGTTGAGTTGATGTGTTTTTCATCTTCCATTCTGTTCAAGTGGTGTATCACATTGATTCGCTTCAATATGTTGAACCATCCTTGCATCCCAGAAATAAGTGGCACTTTAGTATCCCCAATTCTTTTTATATCCCCATGAATACAGTTTTCCAGTACAAGGGGTCTTCAAGAAGTTTAAGAAAAAATATGTATTATGAGAAAATTGTGCATCAGTTTCACACTTTAGCACCTTAATAACCTGCTACAAATTTGTTATAACATGTCTAAACAGGCTCTACTTTGAGGCACTCCGAAGGATAAGACATGTTTGAAAAGAGACAGTTTCAAAGCCATATGATTTCTGCTAAAATTGAAATAAGAAGAAACATCAAATTTAGAATGAGAGCAGATGCAGTGGCTGAGGCCTGTAATCCCAGCACTTTCAGAGGCCAAGACAGGTGGGCCACATGAGCCCAGGTATTCAAGACCAGCTTGGACAACAGTGAAATCCCTTTCTCTAGAAAAAATTTAAAAATTAGCTGGGCATGGTGGCACATACCTGCAGACACAGCTATTGTGGAGGCTGTGGTGGGAGAATGATGGGCCTGGGAGGTCGAGGCTATAGTGAGTTGTGTTCACGCCACTGCCCTTCAGTATGGGTGATGGAGTGAGATACTGTCTCTAAATAAGAATACTTACCATAAAGTTTGGGTAGAGGAATAATGAAATCATTGATGTTATATGAAAAGGCAGGGCCAGGCACAGTGGCTCAGGACTGCAACCTCAGCTCTAGGGAAACCTAGGTGGGTAAATCCCCTGAGGTCAGGAGTTCAAGACCAGCCTGGACAAAATGGTGAAACCCATCTCTCCTAAAAATACAGAAGAAAAAAAAAAGTTATGGGGACAGTGCCCAAAAGAAAACACTGTGTAAATGGGTAACTCATTTTTAGTTGGGACAAGACACTGTTGAAAGTGGTTCACAGAGTGGCAGGCAGACCATCCACATTGGTTTTACAGAAAAATAATCTTGTTCCTGCGACAATGAGGAGGACTGCCAGCTAACAGCAGAAACAATACTCAGGAGTTCAAGACCAGCCTGGTTAACATGGTGAAACTGGCCGGGCGTGGTGGCTCACACCTGTAATCCCAACACTTTAGGAGGCCGAGGCGGGTGGATCACGAGGTCAAGAGATCGAGGCCATCCTGGTCAACATGGTGAAACCCCGTCTCTACTAAAAATACAAAAAATTAGCTGGGCATGGTGGTGCGCACCTGTAGTCCCAGCTACTCAGGAGGCTGAGGCAGGAGAATTGCCTGAACCCGGGAGGCGGAGTTTGCGGTGAGCCGAGATCGCGCCATTGCACTCCAGCCTGGGTAACAACAGCAAAACTGTCTCAAAAAAAAAAAAAACATGGTGAAACTCCATTTCTACTAAAAATACAAAAAGCAGTTGGGCTTGGTGGTGTGTGCCTGGAATCCAGTTCCTTGGGAGGCTGAGGTAGGAGAATCGCTTGAACCTGGGAGGCAGAGGTTGCCGTGAGCCCACATGGCACCATTGCACTCTAGCCTGGACAACAAGAGCAAAACTCGGTCAAAAATTTTTGGAAAAAGATGTCAAGCCCCTTCTCTTCCATTCTTAACCATCATGGTGTGTGCTTCACTCTGCTGCTCGCCATGTCTTCTCACAAGACTTTCAGGATTGAGCGATTCCTGGCCAAGAAACAAAATTAAAATCATCTTGTTCCCCAGTGGATTCTGATGAAAACTGGTAATAAGATCAGATACAAGTCCAAAAGGAGATACTGGAGAAGAGCCACGCTGGGTCTATAAGAAATTGCACGTGAGATGGCACACATTTCTGCAGCCTCTAGGTTACAATTATGTTGCCATATCAAGGTGAAAATGTCACCACTATCTGGAGAGGTGGACTTGTCATATTTTTTTCCCTCTGAATCTGTTATGAATTCATTGGTTGGCTGGATTCAGTAATAAATATGTGAGACTTCTCATTTCAAAGAAAGAAGTTGGGCCGGGCGTGGTGGCTCATGCCTATAATCCCAGCACTTTGGGAGGCCGAGGCGGGTAGATCACGAGGTCAAGAGATCAAGACCATTCTGGTCAACAAGGTGAAACCCGGTCTCTACTAAATATACAAAAATTAGCTGGGCATGGTGGCGCGTGCCTGTAGTCCCAGCTACTCGGGAGGCTGAGGCAGGAGAATTGCTTGAACCCAAGAGGCGGAGGTTGTGGTGAGCCAAGATCGCGCCATTGCACTCCAGCCTGGGTAAGGAGCGAAACTCCGTCTCAAAAAAAAAAAAAAAAAATCAGAGTCAAATGATGTAATTTCATAGAGTACATTAATGTCTGTTTTGCTTTGTTTTGTTACTGAGATGGAGACTCCTGGGTTTGGTGGATCACAGCTGTGGTCCTCGCAGGGCCCTCAGGCAATCCACCTGCCTTGGCCTCCTGAAGTGAACCCCCTAATTTTTGTAGCGATGGCGTTTTACCATGTTGGCCAGGCTGGTTTCACACTCCTAACGACAGGTTATCTGACTGCCTCAGCCTCCCAGAGTGCTGGGACTATCGGCATTAGCCACTGCACCTAGCCTTATTTTTATTTTTACTTTTTTTCTTCAGAACAAAACAAGAGCTTCGCTCTTGTCACCCATGCTGGAGTGCAGTGGCGTGATCTCGGCTGACTGCAACCTCCACCGCACCTGTTCCAGCAATTCTGCCTCAGCCTCCTGGTAGCTAGGATCCGGTTCCCCCCACTGCATCTGGCTGATTTTTGTATTTTTAGTATAGATGTTTTCTTGCATTCTTGGCCAGGCCAATCTCAAACTTTTGACCTCATGCGGTATGTCTGCTTCGGCCTCCCAAAGTGCTAGGATTACAGCATAAACCACTGCACCTGGCCTTTCGTTTTATTCGTTTTTTTGAGATGGAATATCTCGCTGTTGCCTGGGCTATAATGCACTGATGTGATCTCAGCTCACTGCAATGTCCGCCTCCCAGGTTGAAGCAATTCTCCTGCCTCAGCCTCCCAAGTAGCTGGGATCACAGGCGCCTGCCACCATGCCTGGCTAATCTTTGTATTTTTAGCAGAGATGGGGTTTCACCACGTTGGCCAGGCTGGTCTCCAACTACTGAACTCAGTTGATCCGCTCGCCTCGGCCTCCCAAAGTGTTGGGATTACAGGGGTGAGCCACTGCGCCCCGCCCTTTCTTCTCTTTAAAACCATTGGGCTTTGTCGACTCTGAGGCAGCCCTTGTATTTTAGCTCATCTAGATAATGAATATCACGTGTTATGCTGAATATAATATCTAACATACCTGTAGAAAAAACACTAGTTTCTCTTTGTACTTTTTTTTTTTTTTTTTTTTTTTGAGACGGATTCGCTGGGTCACCCAGGCTGGGCACCAGTGCTTGGATCTCGGCTAATTGCAACCTGCGCCTTCCGGGTTCAAGCGATTTTCTTGCCTCAGCCTCCCAGGCTCCGGAGTAGCTGGGATTGAAGCCCGGTGACACGACACCTGCCTAATTCTTTTTGTATATTTAATAGAGAAGGGGTTTCACCATGTTCGGAAACTTAATCTCGAACTTCGGATTTTAGGTGATACGCCCGCCTCGGCCTCCCAAAGTGCCGGGATTACATGCGTGAGCCACCGCACCCGGCCAAGTAAAATTAATTTCAATAGTAAGAAATTTTCCTGGATGCAATTATCGCCCTACGTTGACTTCTCAGAGAAGTGCTATTTCCCGGGCTGCTGACCTGCCCCAGCTCCACTGGCGAGTTTCCCCTCAAAAACCCGGAAAAAAGGCGCCAAGAGCCAGAAGGAGGGACGCTCAGGTCCCGCCCCCTGTCTGGTCGCGGGGCCCCTCACAGCCCCGCCCCGCCCCCGGCGCCTCAGGCCACGCCCATCTCGCGACCTTTCCAAGCCTGGGCCAAGCCTGGGCCACGCCTCGCCCACCTCCTCGGGGCCCGCCCAGGCCTGGCTTCTCTGTCTTGCGCTGATTGGCACAACCCCGGAAGGAGATGGCGCGGACTGAGGGCTACTCTCAGTACAAAAGTGAGGGGACTCAGTTTTGCTCTGGTTGTTTTGTCTGCGCTTCCCAGGCCTCCGGTGATTCTATGCCGGACGCGGGGTCTCCACAGACCTAGAAATGCCGGCCCCTCTTTCTCAACCCAGAGCAAATTGAGACGTCCAGGTGAGAGTGCGTGAGTCGCTTCCTTTTGAGTTAAAAGTCGCCCTGAGGCAGGTCCCTCCCTGGTCTTTCTTCAGTGGGGCCGTGCAGACAGACACCTCGTACCGCGGAAGTTTCCTGCTCAGACCCTTCCTGTCCCCTCCTCCTGCTTCACACAGTTTCAAGTCCTCAGCCGCGTGCTGGATTCCCGTCCTGGGCGCCTCCCAGCCTCGCTCTCGTCGGTCCCTGGAGCGCAGCGCCGCGGTCGCAGTCCCGGGGAGGCGCGTTGTGTACCGAGTCCGGGGAACCTGCAGACCCCACCTCAGTCCCAAAGCCCTGTGGCCTCCCCAAGTCCCTTCTAGTGCTGGGCCCTGCTGCTCCCCAGTTCCAGCCCCTGGAAAACGAGCTCTTCCTGGAGGCAGCCCTCTTATTCCGTCCTCGCCCTGTTTTATCGGAAGGCAGCCTTCGGTGTGAGATGTCCAAGTTCTTGGATAGTGAACATAGACTTGAAAAAAAAAAAAACCTCACGAAATAAAAGAAGAAAGTCTCGAAAGCAGGCATTTATTCAATCAAGAAAGCACTCCATAGAATGGGAGTAGTCTCCAGTGAAAGCCTCCAGGGCCCCGTTTACAAAGTTTTGGGGTGTTAAAGTCTTTCTTTTGAAAACCTATGGGGTACCCCTTATCTGGAAGAAAGATTTGGTCCTTGGCTAATGAAAAGCTGAGATGAATTGACCCGAGGCCAGGGCAGATGGGTGCCCTATGCAGAAGGGGTGTCCGGTGCTTGGCCGTGGCCACTCCGGGGCTCTTTCCTTTTCCGTCTGAGACGTGGTGGAAGCAGGAGGGCTGTAGGGAGAGTGGCCTTTGATCCTTTGTTACTCCATGCGGGGAGATGGGGTTTTTCTTTTGGTCTAGTTTTGGAAAGTTCCTGTTAATTGGCTTTAGATTTCCGCCCCCAGACCTAGGACCCAGGTGTTTCCCTTTTCTTCTTTTTTTATTGGAGATGAGTCTCCCTCTGTTACCCAGGCCGGAGAGTGGTGACAGGATCACAGCTCAGTGCAGCCTCCACCTCCCGGGATCAAGGGACCCTCCCACCTCGGCCTCGGGAGTAGCTGCGACCACAAATCAGCCACCACACTGCGCTAATTTTTGTATGCCTGAAGAGAAGAGTTCTCGCCATGTTTCCCAGGCTGGTCTCCAACTCCAGGGCTAAATCTATCCAGCCACATCAGCCTCACAATTTCCTGGGATTACAGGCATGAGCCACCGCACCCGGCCTTTTTTTCCTTTTCTTTGAGATGGAGTGTCACGCCGTCACACCTCTATCACATGCTTGCGTGCAACCTCTCCCTCCCAGGTTCAAGACGTCTCCTGCCTCAGCCTCCTGAGTAGCTGCAATTACAGTCAAGTTCCAAAATTTTTTTTTTTTTTTCTTTTTTTTTGAGACGGAGTTTCGCTCTTGTTACCCAGGCTGGAGTGCAATGGCGCGATCTCGGCTCACCGCAACCTCCGCCTCCTGGGTTCAGGCAATTCTCCTGCCTCAGCCTCCCGAGTAGCTGGGATTACAGGCACACGCCACCGTGCCCAGCTAATTTTTTGTATTTTTTTAGTAGAGACGGGGTTTCACCATGTTGACCAGGATGGTCTTGATCCACCCGCCTCAGCCTCCCAAAGTTCTGGGATTACAGGCCTGAGCCACCGCAACCGGCCTCAAAATTCTTTTAGACTGTGAGAGAAAAATGTGTAAAGACCTTGTCCCTATGGATGGATCTGTGCCCCCAGGACCTCCCTGACCTCAACTCCTACCTGTGCCGTCCTCTCTCCCACTGCTCCAGCCACACGGGTGCTGTCCTTCTCTTGGGGCTGAGGTTGCTCCTTTCTCAGGGCCTTCACTTGAGCTGTCCCTCTGACTAGGACTCTGGCCCCTCACCTGCCAGTGACAAGCAGCCTTTCTTCCCTAGGTCTTTGTTCTGATATCACCTTTTCTGTGGAAAGCTTTGTGATCTCCCAGAGCCCTCCATTTGACATTGCATCTGTGAACCCACAAAACCTCAGACAGATCTCACTTAATTTAGAGAGTTTTTTCTGCCAAGGTTGAGGATGCACCCGTGACACAGCCTCAGAAAGTCCTGGCGACATGTGCCCAAGTTGGTGGTGGCACAGCTTAATTTTATACATTTTAGGGAGACATGAGACATCAGTCAGTATACGGAAGAGGTTCATTGGTTTGGTCTGGAAAGGCGGGACAACTCAAAGGAAAGGCAGGAAGACTTGAAGCAGGAGGGGACTTCCAAGTCACAGATAAGTGACACACAAATACCACATGTCCCAGGTGATAGTAATATGTGTGTGGCACTGAGTGACAAGGCTCTGTGCCCTCGGTTTCTGAGGGCTGAGCTCAAGCCTGTGATCCACAGATAGGGGAGGGGCTGTGCCCTGAAGGGGAGCTCAGTCCAGTCCACCTCCCCATTGCTGCCTGGTGTGTGGGGCTTCTCCAGGAGGAAAGTGAGATCTCAAGACCGGGCTCAAATACACTTGAGGGTGTTCCTGTGGGACTTTCTTCTCTCTGCATGATCTCTAGTACAGGGGGCAGCAGAGGCCCATCTTTCTACAGCATGAGGTCTCCCCCTTGTGTGTGTTTTTGTCACAGGAAAAGAGTGACTCATTTCTAACATAAGTTTCCTGTATTTTTCATATACAGGATTGATTTCTAAAGACTCATGTGAGGAAGCAACTCAGAAGAGGAAAGAAAAGGAGCCCGGCATGGCTCTTCCTCAGGTAAAGTGACACTCCTCGGTGGGTTCATCTGTCTCTTTCCTTTCTGAAATGCCAGGTATTGCAGTAGCCAGTCTCTTCTGAGTCTAAAGCGTCCTGCCTGACACATTGGCTGGCACTCACCCGTGCCTTCCTCAGTTCCTGTCATCTGCTCTGAGATTCCATCTCCTGTGACCCAGTGACATGAACCTGGGAAGAGGCTCCACTGGGCATGGTCGTGGGAAGGGCTGACACCAGACCTGGATGGACACGGGGTGTGGGCCTTGTGGTGTCAGTGCTGCTGCGCAGCCTGGATGGTTCAGGGGCCACATCTGGATGTAAGACCTTTGAGGATGAGATCAGAGAAACTGCGTATGAAACACATGGGTTAATGTGCACTGATATCTGGTAAACTCTGGAAAAGGAGACCAGTAAGGGGAGCTATTTTGTAGCTGATTTGGTAATGCAGTGGAAGCCACACTGGTAGATCAACACGTCTCTGACTCCAAACTTTTAATTTTTCATGTTTTAAGAGACAGGATGTTGGTTACAGTGCGGTGGCTCACACCTGTAGTCTCAGCACTTGGATGGATCACTTGGAATAAGGAGTTCAAGACTAGCCTGGCCAACATGGTGAACCCCCACCTCTACAAAAATAGAAAAATTAACAGGGTGTGGTGGCACATGCCTGTAATAATCTCAGGTACTCAGGAGGCTGAGGCAGGAGAATCACTTGAACATGGGACGTGGAGGTTATAGCAAGCGGACATTGTTCCATTACGCTCCTGTCTGGATGACACAGTGTGACTTTCTCTGAAAGAAAAAGAAAGGGAAGGTGTCGCTCCGTGGCTTAGGTGTGGAGTAGACTGGTACAATTCAAAGTTTACAGCAGCCTCGCCTGCTGGGCTCAAGTGATTCCTACTTTGGCCTCCCAAAGAGCTAGAATGATAGGCGTGTGTCACTGCACACGGCCAATATTTCTATTTCTGTTTTAGTCTCTCTCTGTCACCCAAGCCAAAGTGCAGTGGTGCAATCTCGGCTCACTTCAAATTCCATCTTTTGGGTTCAAGTGAGATTCTTCTGCCTCAGCCTGCTGAGTAGATGGGACCTTAGGCGCGTGCCACCACATCGGCTTCTTTTTGTATTTTTAGTAGAGACCGGGTTTCGCCGTGTTGGCCAGGCTCACCTTAAACTCCTGATGTCATGATCCACCTTGGTCTCCCAAAGTGCTGGGATTACGAGTGTGAGCCACTGTGCCTGGGCTTGCTTTTTATTTTTATTTTTATTTATTTATTTATTTTTGAGACAGTCTCTCACTCTGTCACCCAGGGAGGAGTGCAGTCGTGCAGTCTCCGCTTACTTCAGCCACTGTGTCCTGAGTTCAAGTGATTCTCCTGCCTAAGCCTCCTGTGTAGCTGGGATTATGGGTGCCTTCCACCATGCCTGGCTAATTTTCATACTTTTTGTAGAGACAGGGTATCACCAAGTTGGCCAGGCTAGTCTTGATCTCCAACTTTTGACCTCAAATGATCTGCCCACCTTTGCCTCCCAATGTGCTGGGATAGCAGGCATGAGCCACCAGGCCTGGCCCTGTTTTCTTCTTATTTGTATACTTTTCATATTATCCATAAAATCAAGACTTCCACAGTGACTTAGGGGATCTTAAAATGCTTCATGAAAAAGTGCAGTAGGCCGGGCGCGGAGGCTCACGCCTATAATCCCAGCACTTTGGGAGACTGAGGCGGGTGGATCACGAAGTCAAGAGATCGAGACCATCCTGGTCAACAAGGTAAAACCCCGTCTGTACTAAAAACACAAAAATTAGCTGGGCATGGTGGTGTGCGCCTGTAGTCCCAGCTACTCGAGAGGCTGAGGCAGGAGAATTGCTTGAACCCAGAAGGCGGAGGTTGGGGTAAGCCGAGATCGCACCATTGCACTCCAGTCTGGGTAACAACAGTGAAATTCTGTCTCAAAAAAAAAAAAAGTACAGTAAACCTTAAAATTCTCAGATACTGTTATCAGTTTAAAAAAAAAAAAGGGCAATAAAATGCAACTATAGAGAAAAAATATTCAAAAATAATGTACACTACATACATTGGTTAGAACACAGTCTTTGATGAAATGGATACTTAATTTCTCTTTTCTCACTTAGTGTGAAGGTGATAACTCAGTCCTTCATAATGTTTTGTTGAAATGTGTTTTTCATTTTAGGGACGCTTGACTTTCAAGGATGTGGCTGTAGAATTCTCTTTGGCGGAGTGGAAATGCCTGACCCCTGCGCAGAGGGCTTTATACAGGGACGTGATGTTGGAGAACTACAGGAACCTGGAGTCTGTGGGTGAGGAAAACGTCCCTCCAGACACGAGGAATCTGCCCTTGTCCATCTTGGCTTTTTCTGCTTTTATATTCTCTGTTGTGATTTTGCTCTGTACAGGCTCTTTTTTTTTTTTTTGAGATGCACTTTTCCTCTTGTTGCCCAGGCTGGAGTGCAATGGTGGGATCTTGGCTCACTGCAACCTCAGTCTTTCTGTTTCGAGTGATTCTCCTGCCTCAGCCTCCTAAGTAGCTGAGATTACAGGGATGTAATACCAGACCCGGCTAATTTTTGTATTTTTAGTATACACCGGATTTCACCATGTTGGCCAGGCCGGTCTCAAACTCCTGACCTCATACTCTGCCCTCCTCAGCCTCCCAAAGGGCTGGGAATACAGGCACGAGCCATTGTACCTGGCCTGGCATGGTTCTCACAAACACATCTCTACCTACTCAGCAGGGATCGTTCTCACCCCCATAGTGCCCTGCACTGCTGTCCTCTATTTCATACCGTTTACTTGTTTTTTCTTGTGTGTACACAATTCTGGAATCTACACGGGGAATTTGTTGAGTATATACCTGAAACTGAAATCAGAGGCCATTTAATTTGAGAGATGTAAAACTGCCTTCACCTCAGGTCACTACTGCTGCTGTTTTGGCTCTTTCATTCTTGTCCCCTGCCCATATTGTAATTTGTGTGTTTAACCTTGGTTTAATATTTTAACATTTTCTAAATTAGTTGCACTTCCCTCCAGTCTCAAACTTTGGTCTATGCTGGTGGGATCATATTCCCACAGACCAGCCTGCACACAGTTCACTCCTGCATGCCCATTACTTCCTGCCCTCCACCCTTGCCCTTCCTTTCCTGGCCTTGCCTCACATGCTACATTGATCTGGATACAAAATGCTGCTGCTTTCCAGCCTGTTGATTTGTAATGCTGAACACCCCAATTTCCACATGAGCCCCTCCTTTCCAACACGACTCTCACTGAGTAAGTCAGGACCTTATATATCCACTGGATGTAATTATAGGAGGCTGCCTAAATCAGTGTGTGCAGGGCCTGATGACTCAGCACATTCTCCATGAGGGAAGGCTCAGCATCGCTGTCAGCGGTATAGCTCAGCCCTTGTATCCCCCTTGATGCATTTCTTTCTGTCTCCTTGTATTTTCTGCACTGCCTGGGTGACTATTGTGCTTAAGAACTTGTCATGGGATCCTTCAGGTTCAGTATCAAGTTTTGTACCTCACTTATTGAACATGAAAATTGGGGTCAAGTACATGAATTCTGTGGGGCTGCTGTTCTTGTTTGAGAAGTAATGTTACTTTCATGCAGTTCTCATACCTCAGGCTCCCAAGTAGCTGGGAATATAGGCATGTGCTTCCACTCCCAGCGAACACTGTATTTTTAGTACAGATGGGGTTTCTCCATGTTGGTCAGGCTGGTTTTCAATTGCTGACCCCAGGCGATCCCCCAACCCTTGGCCTTTGAAGGTGTTAGGATTATAGGCATGAGCCACCGCAGCCAGCTGCCTCCAGGTTTTAAAAACATGTTAATTAGATGGCTTCACATATTGCAAGTTTTATAGAACAGACTCTAATCTTTCTTTGTGTAATAAGATTTGTCAACCTTGGTGATGTCGATGATGAGATACTTCTTTTTCTGTCTCAGTTTTTTCACTGTCCTCTCAGAAATAGCTTAGACTGGCTGTCCATGGTGGCTCCTACCTCTAATCCTGGCATGTTGGGAGGACAAAATGGGTGGCTCACTTCAGCTCAGGTGTTTGAGTCCTGACACGCCAACATGGAGAAACCTCTAATGTACTAAGTACAAAAGAATTGACTAGACCTGGTGACTCACCTACAAACTAAACGGTATTCTCCACAAGGGAGCCAGAGGGACAGGGCATACTTTATGTGTCTCAACAGCACAATATTATTTTTCCTCACCAGTGTGACCTATCACATGTGTAGGGAACAATCTCCATCTGGCTCTGTTTCCAATTTTTTTTGGTGATGGAGTCTCACTATGTCACCCAGGCAGGAGTGCAGTGGCATGATCTTGGCTTACTGCAACCTCAGCTTCCCAGGTTCCAACAATTCTCCTGCCTCGGTCTCCTAAAGAGCCAGAATTATAGGCGCACACCACCACGCCTGGCTAATATTTTGTATATTTTAAATATACAAATGAAATGAAGATTAAAAAGAAATGAGGATTCACCATGCTGGCCAGGCTGGTCTCGATCTCCTGACCTCATGATCCATCACCTCGACCTCCCAAAGTGCCGGATTACAGGCATGAGCCACTGTGCCAGGCCTGGCACTGTTGTTACACATCTGTACCTACTCAGCCAGGGGATCATTTTTCACCTAAATGGTCTCCTACACTGCTGTACTGTTATAGAGTTTACTAATTTTTTTCTTGTGGGTACACAATTCTGGAATCTACACAGAGAATTTTGTTGAGTATATGCCTGAAACTAGAAATCAGAGGCCATTTAACTTAAGAGATGTAAAACTGCTTTGACCTCACGTCACCAAACTGCTGCTTTTTTGGCTCTCTTTCATTCTTGTCCCCTGCCCATATTGTAATTTGCATATTTAACCTTGGTTTAATATTTGACCATTTGCTAAATTAGTTCCAAATCCTCCAAGCTCAAAATTTGGTCAGCACATTCTCCATGAGGGAAGCCTCAGCATCACTGTCAGCAGCACAGCTCAGCCCTTGTATCCCGCTTCATGTATTTCTTTCTGTCTCCTTGTATTTTCTGTCACTGACTGTTTTCTTTACTACCTGGGTGACCATTGTGCTTAAGAACATGTCGTGGGATCCTTCAGGCCCAGGATCTAGTTTTGTCCCTCACATACCAAAAGTGTAAATTGGGTCAAGTACATGAATATTGTAAACCTGCTGTCCTTACTTGAGGAGTAATAATTTGCCTCCAGGTTTTATTTATTTATTTATTTTTATTTTTATTTTTTTGAGATGGAGTTTTCCTATTATTGCCCAGGCCACAGTGCAGTAGTACAATCTTGACTGACCGCAATCTCTGCCTCCTGGGTTCAATCAGTTCTCATGCCTGAGGCTCCCAAGTAGCTGGGATTAGAGGCACGCGCCACCACACCTGGCTGATTTTGTATTTTTATTAGAGATGTGGATTCTCCATTTTGATAAGGCTAGTTTTGAACTCCCAACCTCAAGAGATCTACGCACCTCGGCCTTTGAAAGTGTTGGCATTACAGGTGTGAGCCACCATGCCTGGCTGCCTCCATGTTTTTAAAACAAGTTAATTAGATGTCTTCACATACTGAAAGTTTTCCACTACAGACTCTAAACTTTGTTTAATGCGATTTGTCAGCCTTGGGTGATGTTGATGATGAGAGCCCGTTCTTCTGTCTCAGTCATTTCACTGTCACGTCAGAAATAGGTTAGACTGCCTGACTTCGGGGGCTTACATCTTTATTTCCAGGACTTTGAAGGCCAAGGTGGTTGGATCGCTTCAGGTCAGGAGTTTGAGTCCAGTCAGGCCAATATGCTGAAATCTTGAATCTACTAAATACAGAAAAATGACTAGGTGCAGTGGCTCACACCTGTAATCCCAGCACTTTGGTAAGCCAAGACGGGCAGATAACCTGAGGTAAGGAGTTTGAGACCAGCCTTGCCAACATGGTGAAGGCCTATCTCTACTAAAAGTACAAAAATAAACTGGGTGTGGTGGCATGCACTTGTAATCCCAGGTACTTCGGAGGCTGAGGCCAAAGAATTACTGGATCCCAGGAGGTGAAGGTTGCAGTGAGCCAAGATCATGCCACTGCAGTGCAACCTGGACAACAGAGCGAGACTCTGACACCCATACACACACACACACACACACACACACACACACACACACATACATTTAGCCAGGCTGTAGTCCCAGCTACTTAGGCTGCTACGGGAGAATCTTTTCAGGCATGAGAATCATGCCATTACACTCCAGTTTGGGTGACAGAGCATGACTCAGTCTCAAAAAAAAAAAAAAATACCTTAAACTGGGAAGCTTAAGACACAGAGATTTATTTCTTTTGAATTTAGGAAGTGGGAAATCTAAGAGCAAGGTGCAGGCAAATTGGTTTCTGCTGACAGCCTCCTTTGTGATTTAGCCCAAGCATCTTCCTGCTGTGTTTTGTCTTGGTGGAAAGAGGAATAGTCAACAAGCTCTTTACTGTCTCTTTTTATAAAAGCACTAGTCCTGGCCAGGAGCCGTGGAGTTTATATTTTGTGGGTATCTCCTCCAAATGCATAAGGAAGAAGTTTTCATCAACAGGGCAAGGCAGTACAGAAGTGTTCCACACAGGGACATTGGCAAGACAGGAAAGTCATCACATTGGAGAGTTTTGCTTCCAGGAGACTGAGGAACATAGTCATAACTTTGAGTTTCAGTGGCAAGAAGCTGAAAGAAATAACCAGGAAGCACCGTGACAACATGTAAAAAGCTGACTGGTAGTACAGACCAATAAGATCAAAGGCATGCTGGAAACAAGCCTGTTAAAGATGAGCTTGGAGTGATCTTTCACTCCCATCTTCCTAAACTTCATATATTTCAGACTGAAGGGAATATTGGTAATCAGGTTGAGGAGTCTATCAATGATGCTTCCTTAGTTTCAACATCCCAAATAATTTTTTGTATAGCCAAAACCCATATTTCTAATAACCATGACAGTAATTTTCTCCATTCTTCATTATTTACAAAGAAACAGGAAGTACACATAAGAGAAAAATCAGCTTAACAATAACCCACAACACTCGGACTAACTCACATGAGAGAAAAATCTTTCCAATGTCATGAGAGTAGGAAAGCCTTTAATTTTAACTCATTCTTTCCATTTATTTTTTCTTTTTTTTCTTTTTCCAGCCAACGGCAACCTCAATTCTAGCTCATTCTTAAAGAAACATCAGATAAACCATTTAGGGAAAAAACAATATGAATGTGATGTGTGTGGCAGAGTCTTAAATGAGAAGCGATATCTTGTACGCCATCGTAGATGTCACACTGGTGAGAAACCTCACAAGTGTAATGAGTGTGGCAAGTCCTTCAGTGACAGGTCATGCCTTAAACGCCATCATAGACTTCATACTGGAGAGAAACCTTACAGATGTCATGAGTGTGGCAAGACCTTCCGTCAGGTGTCATCCCTTACATGCCATCGTAAACTTCATACTAGAGACAAACCTCACAAGTGTAATGACTGTGGCAAGAAATTCCCTCCAATATCATTCCTTCAGCACCATTGTAGACTTCATACTAGAGAGAAACCTTACAAGTGTAATGAGTGTGATAAGACGTTCATACAAAAGTCACACCTTACAGAGCATCATAGACTTCACACTGGAGAGAAACCTTACAAGTGTAAGGTTTGTGACAAGGCTTTCCGGCGTAATTCACACCTTGGAATACATACTAGAATTCACACTGCAGACAATCCTTTCAGGTGCAATGAGTGTGGCAGGACCTTCAATTATAAGTCATCCCTTACATGCCATCGTAGACTTCATAGTGGAGAGAAACCTTACAGATGTAAAGTTTGTGACAAGGCTTTCAGACAAGATTCAAACCTTAAACGACACGCTAGAATTCACACTGGAGAGAAACCTTACAAGTGTAATGAGTGTGGCAAGACCTTCAGTCGAAATTCATCACTTGTAACTCATAAGGCAATTCATACTGGAGAGAAACCTCACAAGTGTAATGAGTGTGATAAGACGTTCATACAAAAGTCACACCTTACAGAGCATCATAGATTTCACACTGGAGAGAAACCTTACAAGTGTAAGGTTTGTGACAAGGCTTTCCGGCGTAATTCACACCTGGGAATACATACTAGAATTCACACTGCAGACAATCCTTTCAGGTGCAACGAGTGTGGCAGGACCTTCAATTATAAGTCATCCCTTACATGCCATCGTAGACTTCATAGTGGAGAGAAACCTTACAGATGTAAAGTTTGTGACAAGGCTTTCAGACAAGATTCAAACCTTAAACGACACGCTAGAATTCACACTGGAGAGAAACCTTACAAGTGTAATGAGTGTGGCAAGACCTTCAGTCGAAATTCATCACTTGTAACTCATAAGGCAATTCATACTGGAGAGAAACCTCACAAGTGTAATGAATGTGGCAAGGGTTTTGATACAAAAGCACGCCTTGTATGTCATCATAGACTTCATACTGCAGAGAAACCTTACAAATGTAATCAGTGTGGCAAGGCCTTCAGACAGGTGTCATCCCTTGCATGCCATCATAGACTTCATATGGAAGAGAAACCTTACAAGTGTCATGAGTGTGGCAAAACCTTCAGTCACATGTCATCCCTTGTATGCCATCATAGACTTCATACTGGAGAGAAACCTTACAAGTGTAATGAGTGTGGCAAAAAATTCCATCACATGTCATCCCTTACATACCATTGTAGACTTCATACTGGAGAGAAACCTTACAAGTGTCATGAGTGTGGCAAGAGCTTCATTCAAAAGTCAGCCCTTACATGCCATTGTAGACTTCATACTGGAGAGAAACCTTACAAGTGTAAGGTCTGTGACAAGTCTTTCAGAAGTGATTCACACCTAGCAAGACACAGTATAATTCACACTGGAGAGAAACCTTACAAGTGTAATGAGTGTGGCAAGACCTTCAGTCAGATGCCAAATCTAGTACGCCATTGTAGACTTCATACTGGAGAGAAACCTTACAAGTGTAATGAATGTGGCAAGGTTTTTAACCGACAGGCAACCCTTGCATGTCATCATAGACTTCATTCTGGAGAGAAACCTTACAAATGTGAAAAATGTGACAAAGTTTTCACTCACAGATCACACCTTGAAACACATAAGAAAACTCATAGTGAAGAGAAAGCTTACAGATGTAAGATTTGTGACAAGGCTTTCACGTGTAATGTATACCTGGGAAAACATACTAGAATTCACACTGGAGAGAAACCCCACAAGTGTAATTAGTGCAACAAGTTCTTTGATCAAAATTGATCTCTTAATTCATAAGGCAATTCATACTGGAGAGAAACCTTACAAGTATAATGAGTGTGGCAAGGTTTTTAATCAAAAATCAAATCTTGCTCATCATTATAGACTTCGTGCTGGAGAGAAACCTTACAAATGTGAAGAATGTGACGTTTTCAGTCCCAATTCACACCTTGAAAGACAGAGTAAATCATACTGAACAGAAACCATAGACGTCTGAGATTTGTGACAAGGCTTTCGGGCATGATTCACACCTGGAATAACATCCTAGATTCTCACTGGAGAGAAAACATACACGGGTACTGAGTGTGGCCAAGCCTTCAGTGGACAGTCAACACTTATTCATCATCAAGCAATCCATGGCATAGGGAAACTTTACTAATGTAAAGATTGTTCCAAAGTCTTCAGTAACGCTACAGCCATTGACATTATTGGAGAATCCATAGTGGAAAGGCATCTTACAAGTGTGGTAAATGTGGAGATTTTTTGAACATCGTTGATACCTTTCAGTTTATCGGCCAACTCATGCTGGAGAGAAACCCTACAAATGTCAGGATTGTGGCCAGGTCTTCAGTCATACTTCCCCTTATGCAAAACAGGGGAGAAGTTGTACAGGAGAGAAACCTCCCCAGTGTGCTCATGGTGGCAAGCTTTACTTCACATTCACACATCATTAGACATTAGAGAATCCATCCTGGACGGAAATCTTACAAATGTCCTAAGTGTGGCATGGTGTTTAGTCTCAGGTCACTCCTTGCAGAATATCAGAAAATTCATTTTAAAGATAATTGTTCAAAATGCATTGAATAAGCAACCATCAAGTATTAGTTGACATTAGAGTCAATTGAGCATCGATTTGAGTTTGAGTTGACTTAACTTTGAGTTCAAGCATTAATTGACATTAAAGTGTTTATGTTAAGATGATTGGGTGAGGGAGGGTGTGGCTCATACCTGTAATCCCAGCACTTTGGGAGGCCAAGATGGGTAGGTCGCTTAAGGTCAGGAGTTTTGGACCAGCCTGTCCAAGAGATGTGAATCCCCTTTTCCCAGCCTGTTTTTGTTTTGTTTTGTTTTTATTTGACAAAAACTGACAGGGGGTTTTATGGGTATTGTGTTGAATCTAATCACATTGGTTTATGTAATCATTTCACAACATTTTTCCAATCCGTCAGTATGAGTTGTGTGTGTCTATTTGTTTTTAGTCATTTTGATCAATGTTTGTAGATGTCAAGGTAGAAACTTCTCACCTTTTAACCTCTATTTCTAAGTATTTTTTATTTTAAGTTCTCTAGCAAGTGGAAATTTTTTCTTAATTTTCTCTTAAAATTGCTTATTGTCGATGTATGGAAATTGAAGGAGGTTTTTGTGCTGCTACTGTGTTCTGCAAATACACTTAATGTGTCAATTAGTTCCAGTAGAATTTGGTTGACTCTGTAATTTTCTACAGAGAAGATCATGTCATCTGCAAACAAATATATTTGTACTTGTTTCTGATTTGGATGAGTTTTATTTCTTTTGCTGTGTAATTGCTCTGCCTAGGACAACAGTATTTATTGAATGGAAGGAGTGAGAGAATTCCTGCATCATGCGAGATTCTACAGGAAACACATTCCATCATTTTTTTGATTGGTTATTTCTGCTGTGGTCATCTCCTGGATGGTCTTTTTTTTTTTTTTTTTGAGACAGAGTTTTGCTCTTGTGACCCAGGCTGGAGTGCAATTCCGCAATCTCCGCTCACTGCAACCTCTGCCTCCTGGGTTCAGTCAATTCTCCTGCCTCAGCCTCCCGAGTAGCTGGGATTACAGGCACACACCACCATGCCCAGCTAATTTTTTGTATTTTTAGTAGAGACGGGGTTTTACCATGTTGACCAGGATGGTCTCGATGTCTTGACCTTGTGATCCACCCACCTCAGCCTCCCAAAGTGCTGGGATTACAGGCGTGAGCCACCGCACCCGGCCTTCATGGATAATCTTTATGTTATTGAGGGAAATCTTTTTCACTATCTATTTTGTCTCGGATTTCTATGATGTCTGGATGTTGAATTCTGAGAAATGCTTTTTTCCCATCTGTTGAGTTGATGTGTTTTTCATCTTCCATTCTGTTCAAGTGGTGTATCACATTGATTTGCTTCAATATGTTGAACCATCCTTGCATTCCAGTAATAACTGACACTGGAATATCCACAATCTTTTTTATATTCTCTCAAATACAGGTTTTTAGTACAAGAGGTCTTAAAACAAATTTTTTTTTTATTTTATTTTATTTTTTGAGACCGAGTTTCACTCTTGTTACCCAGGCTGGAGTGCAATGGCATGATCTTGGCTCACCGCAACCTCCGCCTTCTGGGTTCAAGCGATTCTCCTGCCTCAGCTTCCCAAGTAGCTGGGACTACAGGCACGTGTTAACATCCCCAGCTAATTTATGTATTTTTAGTAGAGACAGGGTTTCACCATGTTAACGAGGATGGTTTCGAGCTCTTGACCTCGTGATCCACCCGCCTCGGCCTCCCAAAGTGCTGGGATTATACGCATGAGCCACGGCGCCCAGCTAGAAATTTATAAAAAAATATGTAATGGCCGGGTGTGGTGACTCACATCTGTAATCTCAGCACTTTCAGAGGCTGAGTCGGACAGGTTATGAGGTCAGCAGATGGAGAACATCCTGGCCAACATGCAGAAGCCCCATATCTACTAAAAAAAAAAAAATGAGAAAATTATGCCTAAATTTCACACTTTAGCACCTAAACTGATATGTTTGTTACAGCATGTCTAAACAGGCTCTACTTTGAGCCACTCAGAAGGATAAGGCATGAGTTTGAGAAGAGACTCTGTCAAAGCAGTAAATTTGTGCTAAACTTGAAACAAGAAGAAACATCAAATTTACAATGAGAGCAGATGCAGCAGCTCAGGCCTGTAATCCCAGCACTTTCAGGGGCCGAGACGTGGGTCACGTGAGCCCAGGTATTCAAGGGCAGCCTGGGCAACATGGTGAAATTTCCTTCTCTATAAGAAAGACTAACATTAGCTGGGCATGGTGGCACATGCTGCAGACACAGATACTGTGGAGTCTGTGGTGGGAGGATGGCTTGAGCCTGGGCAGTCATGGCTGCAGTGAGCTGTGATCATGCCACTGCCCTTCAGTGTGGGTGACGGAGTGAGATCGTGTCTCAAAATAATAATACTTACTGTAAAGACTGGGTAAGGAACAAAATCATTGATGCCGTATGACAAGTTTATGAGGACGATGGCCAAAAGAAATCACACCTCATTGTGAGTTGGGAGAAGATGATGTGTGAAGTGATGCAGGGTGGCAGGCAGGTCATCCACATCAGTTTTACAGAAAACAAATTAATCTTGTTCCTGCCGCAATGAAGAGGACTGCCAGCCAACAGCAGAAATGATAGGAGTTTGAGACCAGCCTCGTTAATGTAAGGGTTATCGCTGAGTTGAAAACGAGGAAACTGAGGCCAGTATAAGAACAATTAGATGCCAGTTTATTTATGTCCGGGAGAGGTTCTGTGGTCCTGGGGAAAGGGGCCAGAGAAGTCGCGCTTGACTTCTCAGGGCAGGGGGTTTTATGAGCGTTAGAGGCAGGCTGGCCTAGGATGCATGGGGTGGGCTGCCATTGGATAAGGCTTGGCAAGATTTCTTTAATTTTCGCGGGTTCAGCTGTATAGTTTAGTGCTGAGGTTCAAATGCACAGCTTGCTGCTGAGAGTGCCTAGTCTAGTGCTGAATATAGACCTGGGGACAGAATGCAGAAGTGGGTGAGGGGAGCCCGCATGGAGGAGCCAGATGCTGAGTAATGTGTTCTGTTTGATAAACTGTTATCAGGCATAGAGGGGGTGGGTGTTGTTCATCCGGCTCCTAGCAAGGCTATCGGCCTTACAGTTAACATGGTGAAACCTCTTCTCTACTAAAAATACAAATAGCAGGCGGGCATGGTAGTGGGTGCCTGGAATCCCAGCTACTCAGGAGACTGCAGCAGGAGAATCACTTAAACCCCGAGGGGGATGTTGCCGTGAGCCGAGACGACACCATTGCACTTTATTCTGAGCAACAAGAGCAGGACTCCGACAGAAAAAAAAAAAAAAGGCGGGAAGCCCCTTCTCTTCATTCCTCTGCCATCATGGTGTGTGCTTGACTCCGCTTCTTACCATGTCTTCTAACAAGACTCATGATTAAGTGATTCCGGGCTAAGAAACAAAAGCAAAATCATCCATTCCCCAGTGGATTCAGATGAAAACTGGTATTTGTCTATTTTGAAGATGATGGCAGCTGGCAGAGCTTGTGGACCTTAGCCTACTGAACATTTGACATATGGCTACGGGAGAGCGCCCCTAATTAGCGGGCTCTTCCCCAGAGCTTTGCACTTTAGGCTGCTCTGCACTTCTTTGCCCACCTTAGAATAATAAGGTTGGGGTGCACATGGACTGCTTTTAGCCCTTTTCTCCGGGGACCAGGGAACACAAGGAATTCCTTATTAACTGAGACATGCGAGGAGTAACAGGGAAGGGCAGGTGTAGGAAAAGCAGCAGCACGGAAGCAGCGGGCCACTTTCCGGGCACCGTTCCTCGGTCACGTGATCATGGTGAAAAGGATATTTAGGACCGGGCTGGAGCTGCCTGCGGCCACCCAGGGACTCGGTGTGCACCTTTTGGCCCTTCCTCTGTTACCATAAACCCCAAAAGAGGCCACCTGCCCAGACTGCCAGTGACCAAATGGGCACCCCATGGCATCTTAGCAACTCTCCTGGCCCAGGCCTCTCTGGGCAGCAGGAAAGCCAGAGCTTTCTGGGATGAAACCCAGGAGGCAGCAGGCAACATTCCCTTGTATTCCAGGGAAAAAGAAAGACCAGGCCAGATAGGTGGACGCCTGAAGTGGGAAGTGGAAACTTGCATATTAGGAAGACGATCATCCTCAGCCACTTTCCTTCCCTCCTGGAGGCTCCCCTCCAGCAGTGAAGTGTGTGGAGGGGACACGGTCACCTGATTATATAGATGTTTGCTGACTAGGGGTCTTATCCAAGGCAGCCTTCAATTCTCTTAAGGGAGATGGGAGGCCCTGTTAGCTGAATGGGGCCAACAGGTCCCTTTAAGGGTGGAGGAAAACAGGACAATGGCTTTTCTTTTTCTTTTTTGTTTTTTTTTCAGACTGAGTCTAGCTCTGTCATCAGACTGGAGTGCAGTGGCACAATCTTGTCTCACTGCAACCTCTGCCTCCCAGGTTGAAGTGATTCTCCTGCCTCGGCCTCCAAACTAGCTGGGACTGCAATGCACAATCATTTCTAGCTAATTTTATTATTTTTTTTAAAGACGGGGTTTCACCATGTTGCTCAGGCTGGTCTTGAACTCCCGACCTCAGGGGATCCACCCGCCTTGGCCTCCAAAGTGCTTGGATTCGAGCCGTGAGCCACCACGCCCAACTGCTAATTTTTGTATTATTAGTAAAGACATGGTTTCACCACGTTGGCCAGGATTGTCTACAACTCTAGACCTCCTGATCTGCCCTCAGCCTTCCATGTGCTATGATTACACTCATGAGCCACCATGCTTGACCTGGTCAACGACTTTTCTATAGGAGGAGAAAAAGGCTCAGGTTCATCCTTATCCTCATTAGAACAAAATCTCTTCTTTATTCTTCATAAGAGGGAGGGAAGTGGGGAGAGAAATTTCTCCCTGTTGTGCTGGTTTCTGTTTTCTTCCTCTCTTTTTTGTTTTGAGACGGAGTTTCCCTCTTGTTACCCAGGCTTGAGTGCAATGGCGCGATCTCGGCTCACCGCAACCTCTGCCTCCTGGGTTCAGGCAATTCTCCTGCCTCAGCCTCCTGAGTAGTTGGGATTACAGGCATGCTTCACCATGCCCAGCTAATTATTTGTATTTATAGTAGAGATGGGGTTTCACCTTGTCGACCAGGATGGTCTCAATCTCTTGACATGGTGATCCACCTGCCTCGGCCTCCCAAAGTGCTAGGATTACAGGCGTGAGCCACCACGCCTGGCCTGTTTTTTCTTTTTATTTAAATCTCCTGAATTTCCTTCAGGTGGAGAAGAGGACGGTGTGACTCACCGGAATCTGACAGATAAAGAGGATACGACGCAGAGCTTACTACCACCCATGGGGTCAAAATAGCAACATAAGTAAAATGACCTTGCTCCTACTCTCTTTTTACACAGCAACCTACTTTATCACAGAACTCTAAACTAAGGTTCCTTGATCGGGAAACCAAGGGCATCCCTGCTGAATTAAGAGCATAACTTGTGTAGGGCTTCAGGCTCTACAGTGCATTGGACGGCCTTCAGTGGCTGTTGCTCTGTGAAAAACTACTTTTTATTATTGGCTTATTTTTGACCCATGATAACCTAGCCCCGATATTTAATGCGAGTGTCCCATCCTCCTGATGGGAGTTCAGACTCTGTTACTAGAATTCCCTGAAAACTGATGAGCTCTTCTCCTTCACGCATAAATTCAATGGTACCACACCGGGATCATCG